ATAACCAAGCGTTTTCTGTCCGAACTCTCCGAGGGCTAAAGCGAGTTTCTTTGTCCTCGGGTCTTCGGGTCGATTTATGTCTGACGGAAGATACGTGGCAACGTATTTGTCGCGAAACGTCAGAGATCTAAAAAAATAAATGATATTAAATTCGACTTTTCATACTCGATGGAAATTGTGTAGTGACATATATTTCAGTCAGGCGCTTGACTGAGCTCCGTCAGAGTTGCACTGACTCACAGACTTATGTAATATTGCATGAGCCTCATGACCTGTGAATACATTTTTCTCCAGTGAAGACTGAAAATACCAAAAATAAACTTAAGCGATTTATGTGTTAAAAAAATGGAAAAGAGTAACATAAGACATTTTTATAACTTACTCATTCGAGACGGTGTAAACCCAAATTAAATTTATTCTGAGCTAAAGTTTCTGTAGCACGAAACATGTCCTGAAATTCCTAGTCTATCTAATATAATCTTAGCAGTTTGACCTTTTAGGTATTAAAAAGTTTGAGTGGGTTATCTGCGTACAACATTAAAACAAAAAAATAAGGCGATTGCCTGAGTTTCACTGTAGGCACGTTTCAGCAAGCGTTGTGGCTGAACTCATTACCTCTCGTAATTTTTCTGTGAAAAATTGTAGAAAAAATGCTTTCCTGCGTGCTTAAATTACACATTGAAAATGAAAAAAGCAAAAAAGATAAATCATTTCTCTTATTGCTGTACTCTTTTTTATTTTAAGAGGCCGGCTGAAAATCGACGCTGTACTCTGCTGCAGCACTATGTCGAGCCGGGACCTTTTGGGCACTGCATCGACTATGGTAGAATATTCTAAGAACTTAGGTAAATTTAAAGTTTTTCTTATTATTATTTATATATATTGTAGTTAGATGTTATATGTATATATTGTTGTTGACTAGCTCGGTGTCGTAATGTATAAGCGCCGCGGCCCGCGATCGTATTCATTAAGCAACTTTCGCAAAGGTCGGTCACGGGATGGGTGACCAAAAAAAATATTATCTCGAGCTACTCCGTGCTTCTGAAGGCATGTTTAGCCGTTGATCCCGGCTGAATTTGCAGTCGTTAATACCCTCCAATCCGCATTGGGCCAGCGTGGAGGATCATGGCCCATCCTCCTCAACCATCCATAAGGAAGGCCTGAGCCCCTGCAGTGGGGACGTAAAAGGGCTGGTGATGATATTGTAGTTACAGTATTATTATTCCGTTTTATTTGTCATATGGTGTATGTGTTCAATAAATATTCATTCATTTACCTTTCAATACGTTTTTTTATTAAAAAAAAATAAATAATATATTTAAAAAATATATATATATCGCACACCTAGATCTAAACTAAGACAACTCAAAAAACTAATGTGGAGGTCTGACAATACATTTGTTTACGTGGCAGGAGCGCGACCACTGTTGATTCAACAAAAGAAAGTTAAGGTTATCTAGCGGCTCATCCCCGAACCTTTATTGAATCTGTTATGTTGCATAGATGCGTATGATCACCAAGTATTTGAATATTGTACTAAGTCAATACTTACTAAAATTTTTGAGTTGTCTCAGTTTAGATCTAGGTGTGCGATATATTAAAAAATATATAATTAAAATATATATATTATTAAAATATAATATATTTAAAAAAATAAAAAAACGTATTGAACACGGCCATTTTTTCGTGCATCGTGTTCTATGAGATGCAGCAGTTGACATGTAAAGCAGTATGTTTATCTCGTTTTAGCGAGAGGTATGTTAAAGATTCATATACGGAGATAAATATTTTTGATTTTTTTCGCCATTTTGTGGTTGTAATAAATAATGTTACAGCTGTTTTAAAACGCAATAATGTATGGCTATGACATGTCTAGTAATAAAACGCCATTGGCTTTGATTTTTTCGAGGCACTGTTTCTGTTACCCAGCAAGCTATAGGGGATATGTACGACTCTCCTACATGAATCTACCCGGCAGTTAGCTGCACAGAAAAACCCTACTGTGCCATCTCTCGTTCAAGATGAGACCCGGGGAGCCTTGACCGGGTCACCAAGACACTCAAGTATTGGTCCATTTGTGTTCTCGCCGATGGAGAGGCTCATGTACATCGAGAGGCTCTCCTAGATAGGTGAGACTCTGCCATGCAAGGTGGCTGCCAACCGCGAAAATTGCTGTTGTTAAGCAATTTTCGCAAGGGCTTCTCGCGGGGTGGGTGACCACAAAATTATTAAATAAAGCCTACAGCAGTGATATAAAAGAGCTGATGATGACGATCAATACATTAAAGACTAAAATTTAATAAAGCAGTTTATTTGATAGCAATTTTTCCGAACACAATACTTCGAATTGAATTGATATAACTTTTTTATTTATGAACCGATTTAAATAAAACATACACTAAATTTTAGATTACCAAAACACAATAATGAAAACTGCATTTATTTTGAGATCAACGTACACAAACTTACAGACAAACCGACAAAGAGATGAAATAAAAAAATAAAAAAACATTATTTTGTGTTCTATTACGTTTATAACGCATTTAAAAATATTATATATTTTCGTAGTAATGGTTTTATTATAGTATATATTCTGAAATAGATTCTTTTATAAAATATTGAATATGTATCGAATATTGCTAATTTGATTCGATACTTGTATTGATTAGGTACTTCTTTCAAATAAAGGGTAACATAGTGGTATTTATTATATAACTAGATCGATCTCTATCATTGATCTTTGTAAGTGATTTTCATCTTTCAGAAAAAATGGATGAATAAAATCCACTGTTGAAAAATTTATATTTCTGTTTGTTGCATAAATGTTGCGTGTGTCCTTATTTGTTTTATTTATCATCCTTGTAAAAGCACTGGTCGTCTATCCATCTGGTCAGATCCATCGAGGGTATTTCTTCGCACGATCTTATTTCATTCCTGAAAAAAAAAAGAATATATATTAGACATGAATTGAACTAGTACTACTCCTTAACATAAACAAATTTGCGTGAGGAAGTGTGATATTGAATATTAACTATCTCATCAATTTCATTTAAATAACTAGAGATTAAAAATTTATCATAAAACTAGCCTTCCGCTTCTTCCGCATGATCTAGTTTTAAGTCCAGAAATGAAAACTTTCATTTCCTAAGTAACCCCTAGGGGTCGAATTTCATATATCCCGTCTTAGTGAGCACCTACGTCCTAAAAAGAAACCGCATGCAAAATTTGAAACTCCTAGCACTTGTAGTTTCTGAGATTTTGTGATGAGTGAATGAGTGAGTGACCTTTCGTTTTTATATATATAGAAGATAGCCAGTAGTTACCCGAGTGTGGGCTGCAACATCGCTCTCGGTTGGATCTTGTCCACTCTGTCTCCGTTATCACATAGCAGCCTGGCTGAACTTGATCTTCTTATTTCTTTTAGTTGAGCTGATAAAAATAAATTGACCAAATAATGTTATAATATTATTTAGAAATAAAGTGTCAAAATTATTATTTTGTGAAATATTATTGAATATTATTGAAAATGACTAAACTAAAACTAGTGTATTGTGTTCAGTGTTAATGTATATAAGCATGTATGTAAGTAAGTTTCTTTATGGCATCATAACTTTTGAAATACCTAACGTATATTAATGTAAATATGAAATGCAATGAAAATGTCTTTATTCAAGTTACAAGCACTTTTGAATCGTCCAAAAAATATGTTTTTTCCCCTACCACTCCGCTGATAAGAAGCTTTTTTATCTGACAAGAAGAACAAGCGAAAGAAACTTACCAGCTCTTTAACATAAGTAATGACATATACATTAATTATGTCATTGCCAAAATAATACGTATTATAACAATTATAATTAAAAATTTCAAAGTCTGTAGGATTAGTTAGATATGGTCTCGTTGCCGCTCGACACCACTAGCGACATCTAGACAACTGTGTAGCGGCCCGGACGATTGATTTTTTAACAGCTGTTTCGAAATAAAAGCGTTGACAATCGCAATCACCTTTCACTTTCAAACGGATAAGCATCGAAGCTACACGAAAATTACAAAATATAGAAATCGAATTACAAAGGAGTACCGAAGCCCCCGTTCCTGCACAGTCTCATTAGAAATGTTATTATTATCCTGAGTGACATTTACTACATATTATAAAAAGTATCTAATATGGCGGATGTATGAAAAAAGGATTTTTTTTCTTTAATTATAAAAATATGGGCAGGACATTTAATATATAACTTTTATGTATACACAATAATAACTGCTCATTAAAATATAAAAATTAAGAACTTCAAAATAAATAAATACAACTACCGAAATAGAACAAGAAATGAAAGAAAGAAGCCAAGCCATGATTCAATGTTTTTGTTAAATTTGTATTATTATTTAGTATTTTAATTGTATTTTATCCGCTATTGTGTTCTGTAATAAGTTTCCGTATCACAATTATAAAAAGAACTTAAATATTTTACTGTTGTAGCAGTATTATTATTTATGTAATAGCATGGTTAATGACCGAATTCAGTCTACTACCTAATAATAACATATTATTTAACAAATAATAACACCGTTTATTTAACTAACAGAATTTTTTTATTTCAGTTTAATAGTTGGCTATTATTTTAAGGCAAGGGAAATATATAAACAGTACGAGCCGAAACCTGATGTAAGGTTCAATGCAAGGTGTAAAGGAAATTGATTCATTCGTCTCGGCTCGTGTTGCTCATTAGTTTTTTAGACCTTAATCATTACATAAGTATATACTTATTTGCGACTCGGTAAGCATGTTGTATTGTTGCGTATTGACAATAGCCACATCAACCGAAAGTTTGTTAAATGTGTAGCGGCACCCCTAAGACACGTGCAGGGTACGGGAAGTAAATTCCTGCGAACGTGTAGAGCTTCATCTCCCAGGTCCTCAATCATTTATAATAACCAAAAGTGGAAACAAGATTTCGATTTTTCTTCTTATAGATTATAATAAATAACGAGGTTTTACTTACGTAGCGTGAGGGCAGCTGGTATGTCCCCGTGTTCGAAGAAATGCCTGTCGGACTTGCGCCAATGCAGTAGATTATGGACAATGATGCAGAAGAGCGTCGGTCCCACAAATCCACCATCGATCATCTTCTCGCTGTGGATGGCCGCCATCATATCCACGTCGTTCACGTCGTAGTATATGCGACGCATCTGTTCTACTTTCTGCGTGATAATAAACCAATTAATGTGAAAAATATGTTGTAAGACTTTTTATTGTGCGCTCATCACGAAATCTTAGATACTAGAAGTGTGAGGCTAGTTTCAAATTTTGAAAGGGTTCTTTTTATATTTTTTATAAACTACCATGTATTTGTGACGACGACGGGAAATGTGACTAGCAAGTTAAGAAACACTACTATGTATTATAAAAAAATCTCACATCTGCGAATATAACGTCTTGGAAGTCTTCAAACTTGTGAGCATAAGGCAGCCCGCACAGCTTGCGGTACTGATTGTATGGCTGCAGACCCTGGTCTCGTCCACGAGCGATGTCCACGGCTGCCACGTCTAGTGCTGCCTGCAGATTACCTGCTACCCGCTCTACCATCTAAAGAATATGTACATCTTACCTATCATATATATTTAAAAAGAAATTGGTAAGTAATTTTTATTTGGTAGTAGGTATGACAGCCAATCAGCGTGGTATGTAAAATTGGTAACTGCAAATAGAGCGAGATTTATCCAACTGTTTAGTTTAAGTTACCTACTAGCTCTTAACTATATCGTTATCCGACCTCATGTCTTTAGTAATTAGGCAAGGAATAAATTGAAAATAAATAGATATCCGTACATCAGGGTCAAAGACGTAGTCGAATTTATGTGAGGGTTGACGAAAAACGCCCTGTGTGAGGTCTGCCTCAGTGTTGTTGAGCTCTAAGATGCCGCTGCGGAATACGTCGTCCACTTGAGTTCTAGTGCCTAAGTACTCGCCTTTATTACTGTACAAACTGAGAAAAAAGGGCCCATTAAAATTTACGCAAAAAAAATCTCATGTGAAAGTGGAAACGGAGAAACTACGTAATTTTTTTACGTATTTAAAAATCAATACACGATTATCTAACTAAACTATAACTCACTCCGTCCGTCCATCCTGGATGTTGTGGAACCAACGGCCACCAACGAGGTACTCGTAGTAGAATCCTGGCTCGTAATTCTCGTCAAAGTCATTGACGTAGCCTTGCGTGTTGTGTATGACTCCAGCGTTTAAAGCGTTCTCCCTACCTTATTTTTTAAAAAAAGTATCTCAATTATAGAGACGAAATTAACGAGTGTTTAATATAATAAAATTTTATTTCTAACTGTTCTTACCTATAAACTCTGGCATTAGCTCGTAATAAACCATGTGCTGCCATTGCGCTATGTTGATGTACCGCGCTGTTTTGAACAGTTCCTGGTCTGACCAGCATGGATTGATCTCTGCCAGCTTATGTGACAGACGATTGTGTTCCCGGAAGAACCACAAAGCGATCAATGTTACGATGGAGATAACATTACCGTTCTGATCATCACCTGCGATTATTTCATTTGGTAAATAATTAATGTTGTGTTTAACTAATTGAATATTGATTTAAAGGAAACGAAAAAGAGAAATCGAAAACAGAAACATGTTGTTTAAATAAGGTAATTGGCGTCTTATCTTCGTAGATAAAATGTTTTGTAACAGCAATGGACAGTGACCTCGTGTTCATTGAAAGTAATTTTCGATTTAAAATTTCTGAGAATTATTTCCCGCCATATACTTATATAATACGAGGGTCAAACTGAAAGTTCTTAGAACTGGCCACTTATAAACAATATAATAAAAAAATAATTCTAAAATTTGAAAATATAACTCTTTGCCAATATTACTGAGTATATATTTCATTCATTTGTCATTTGTTTTACGATTTGGCGGCAAATTGAAAATTGTCTGTGTCACGTCATCATGAATTTAACACGAGAAAATTTTCGTGCAATGATTTTTTATGACTTTCGATGTCATTTAAGTCAACAAGAAAGTTATGATAGACTACGATTGGCCTTTCACGATGAAGCCCCATCTCGTGCGACTGTTTACAACTGGTTTAATGAGTTTAAACGTGGTCGCACTAATCTCACTGATGATTTACGTGAGGGACGGCCTTCTACGGCGACGACTGAAGATAACATCTGTGTTGTGCGGCGTATGATAGAGACTGACAAAAGAGTGACCTATCAACAGATTCGGACAAGCTTAGGCATCGGTATGAGTCAAGTGCACAAAATCCTCCACGAACATTTAGCGGTCAGGAAGCTTTGCGCCCGGTGGATACCTCATAATTTGACTGAGGCTCAAAAACTCCATCGTGTGGATTGGTGTCGTAAAATGATTGAAAGATTTAACGGAGGTGACTCAAATGCTGTGTTCGACATACTAACAGGTGACGAAAGCTGGATTTACTGTTATGATCCTAAAACCAAAAGACAATCTGCTCAGTGGGTGTTTCCTTTCGAGGAGTTGCCAACTAAAGTGAAGAGAGATCGAAGTGCGGGAAAAAAAATGGTGGCCTCGTTCTTTGGAAGGATAGGTCATTTTGCAACAATTGTGTTAGAGGATCAAAAACAGTTTCTGCAGAATGGTACACTACCAATTGTTTGCCACTTGTCTTGGAAAAAGTTCGAGAGAAACGACCTCGCAGTAGGATCCTCCTTCACCACGACAACGCCTCGTCGCACACCGCCAAGCGAACGATCGACTATTTGGCGACATCAAACGTTGAATTACTGGGTCACCCGCCGTATAGCCCCGACCTCGCGCCTTGTGATTTTTATTTATTTCCAAAAATTAAAGAAAAACTTAAAGGAAAGCGGTTTATGAATGCTGAAGAAGCGGTGGCTGCGTATCGCGATGCCATTGAAGAGACCCCTAAGGACGAGTGGGCAAAGTGCTTTTCCCAGTGGTTCCATCGCATGCAGCGGTGTATTGACGTGAATGGACAATATTTTGAAAAGATATAATAAAGCTAATAACTGGCTAATGTAATCAGTTTTTGATTTTCTAAGAACTTTCAGTTTGACCCTCGTATATATGAAATGAAAATGTCTTTATTCAAGTGAGTAAACTGTATCAATTGTAATTTCTCTATAATTTATGGTGTACAATAAAGAATTTATTCATTCATTCATTCATTCTTGTTACCAGCACTTTTGAATTGTACAAAAATTTCTTTGTTCCCCTACCACTCGGTCAGGATGGCTTTTAATAAATAAATAAATAAATTTTTTATTTCTTTACCAGAAAAATTATTTTTAAATTCAAAGGTTGGCTCTTTCTTTTAAGTGCATAACACCTGTACCAGAAAGAGCCGCTCTTCCATAGCTAAAGGTCTTAAAACAATGGTAAAAAAAACAAAACAAAGACAAAAAAAAGAAACAATTACAATATACAGACAGTCGTAACGTGTTAAAAGGCGCGGGCACGCGCCTGTGTTTTATATTCATTTTAAAACTCTCAAAAGATTTTCCACATCTTCATAATTTATACCTTTCAAGTAAATAGTCAATTTAAGTTTGCATGGTTGGTAGGTTAGAGGATATATATTAAGAATTTTGTTAATTCTATTGTAAATGAAGGATGAAAGATTTATAAATTGTTTTTAGCGAAATCTGTATTAGTACGTTTGATTATGGCAACATTACCCTTTCTTCTCTTCTTTATTATGTTGGGGTCGTATTCGAGGAGAGTGTGTTTTTTAAGTATAACATGGAGTATATACAACTTTCTAACGGAAAGCAGATCTGTCAGAGAGTACAGTAATTGAGTTGGAAAATCACGTTTTTTAAAATACATGACCTTAATCAGTGCCCTTTGAGCACGTTCGACCTCTAAGAATTTTGTTTTGGTTGCACCACCCCAAAGTATAATGCAATATATTAAAATTGATTGAGCTAGTGAGACATATATTTGATTTAATTGGTCTTTTGAAGCTATATGTCGAAGGTCCCTAAATATCCATATCAACTTTCGCAACCTACATGAAACCAGATCTATATGAGAATGCCATGAGAGTCTCTGATCCAGCATAATGCCAAGATATTTAATAATATTGACTTTATTTAAAGATGGGCAGAAGCAGTTACTGTTTTTATCGCATTGGTTATTATGTATTTTTATACAATACTCACGTTCAGGTTGGGTACTATTGTATATAGAAAAGCACATGTAATTTGTTTTTGTGGTGTTGATCGTAAGTAAGTTTGTTTTGAGCCAATCTGCAATCCTTGACAAACCAATTTCCGCCTCTACCTTTACATCTCCCCAGGAAGAGCCAGTGAATACCACAGCCGTATCATCTGCATATGAAAAAATGCTGGAACCTTTACTCGTCAGGCTACATAGGTCATTTATATATATTAGGAAGAGAGTTGGACCGAGTACGCTTCCCTGAGGAACTCCATAGGTGATATTAGTCCTCTCACTGGTAAATTGACCTATTTTTACCTTTTGCGTCCTTTCGGTGAGATAGTCCTTTAAAAGTTCCAAAGCAGTTCCTCTGATACCTATTTTGTCCAATTTTTGCACAAGCTTAGGAATAGAGACGGTATCGAAAGCTTTTTTTTAAATCTAAAAATACTGTGAGACACTTTTCCTTAGCGTCTAATTTTTCTGTTATTATGGATGTCAAGGCCTCAACAGCATCTATAGTCGATTTTCCAGTTCGAAAGCCATATTGAGAATCTGCTAAAATTTTGTATTTGTCAAGATAATTAATCAATCTTTTATTAATTAGTTTTTCGATGATCTTTGATATTGCAGGTAAAACAGAAATCGGCCTATAATTATTAATGTCTCTTACATCTCCATTCTTGTGCACAGGTGTTATCAGGGATTCTTTCAATTTAGTTGGGAATACACCTTTGCTGAAGCAAAGATTAGTAAGGTGTGCAATAATAGGAACCAATGCGTCTTTTGCCAGTTTAAGGAAACTTGTTGGTATACCTTCCCAACCAGGAGAGCTGTTTGATTTAAGGCTCATGAGAACTGAAAGAACTTCTTCGGAGTCAGTATCTAAAAGAACAAAGGAGGAGGGTTGCGATTCAAAGAGGTGACTGAGATGAGTTCGAGTAAGATCTGGCTGAGTAATGGAATCCGCTAAATTTTTTCCAATATTAGCAAAATAATAATTTATATAATCAATAGATTTACACGATGTCTGTTTCACCTGCAAAAGCTTTGTATTGTTAGACTGAGATTGTTTTAAATGTGTTATAGTAGATATAGCATTCCAGAAACTCTTCATATTTCCCTTAGAATTGTTCAACAATCGCTTATCATAATCCCGTTTTATTTTTTTTTTATCAAATTGTTACAAAAATTTCGATACCGTCTATATGTAACTCTGAGAATTTCATCATCTGAGTTTAAACGAAGCTTATTTTGCAATTTATTTCTATGACGTATACATTTTAATATGCCTGGTGTTATCCAAGGCTTAATAACCCGATTTTTTTTGGAAATATGTATCTCTTTTTTGTGTTTTTCCAGCGATTCCATTATTTTAGCGATTAGTGTGTTTCACTTTTATCCGACAAGAAGAACAAGCGAAAGGACCTTACCTTTATCATAAGTAATGACATTTACATACACCATGTCATTACCATGATAGTTCGTATTATAACAATTACTAGCTTACCGCCAGCGGCTTCGCCCGCGTGGTCTAGTATTATACATAAAAACCTTCCTTTTTAATCAACCTATCTATTAAAAAAAACCGCCTCAAAATCAGTTGTGTAGTTTTAAAGATTTAAGCATACATAGGAATATAGGGACAGAGAAAGCGACTTTCTTTTATACTATGTAGTGATACACAAAGTTTTCAAAGTCTGTTGGACATAGGTTAGTATATATTCATTCTCTTATTAGTTATAGCATAACAGTATGGGGAAACAGCGTTAATGCTAAAAGAGTACTCATAGCACAAAAAAGAGCAATAAGAATTTTAGCTGGAATTAAAAGAAGGGAATCAGCAAGGAAGCATTTTGTGAAATATAAAATCATGACTGTAATATCATTGTACATATATAAATACTTATTAGAAATTCATGAAAATAGGGAAAGCTATGTCAAAAGCATGGATATACACAAATATAACCTTAGAAACAAACACAAATTGATATTACCTAAGGTGCGACTCACCAAAGTACAAAAACAAGGAAAATACAATAAATTACTTATGTACAATAAACTACCAATTTCAATAATGAATTTAGAGATTAATAAGTTTAAAAGAAAAATTAAAATGTTCTTTGAAAAAAATGCCTTTTATACACTTACAGAATTTATTAATATGCCATTGACTGAATCCTCATTTTCGTAGATTTTAAATGATAGTAACGTTAGAAATAATATCCGATTGAATTAATAATTTAATGCCAATTTATTTTAATCGTGTTTTTTTTTAATATTATTATTGAAATTCTACACATACTTATATTTGAAATAATTTATTTTATATTTATTAATAATCATGACATTATAACAGTTTATATCATATTCTTAAATGACAATGAATGTATATTAATGACTTACCTAGTGAAACATTCTCTGTTACAAGGCCAATAAATAATTTGATTTGATTTGATTGATTTGATTATAATTACAATTAGTCGTTATAGAACAAAGCGGAAGGGCATTAAATCCATGCATTGCGATCCTTAAAATAATCATCAACTTTATAATAGCCTTTACTTATAAGTATGTTCTTTACATGTGTACGAGCTAATGCAGTACATAGCTACATTAATATTTAGCGTAAAATAAGTTGTTGCACTATGACCCAGATGTGTTTGCATACACACCACTTTTCAAAATGTACAAATAATTATTATAATAAACTCAGTGTTTTAATAGCATTCATACGGTTCGGTTTTACTTAGCACTCCTTTGAGTAACCTTACCCTTAGCAAGCATACGAGTGTAGGGAGCAATTCCTCCAACATGAATTTTAAATTTATTTATGTTAATTACATTTTGTGGAACTTTATTGAACATAGCAATGCATTTACCCAGAAATGATCCTCTGGTTGTCTGAAATCTGAAGCTAGGAACGGCAAGTTTATTTTTATTTCTTGTGCGTAATGTTTTCTTGCGTACATAATATTTTCATAGATGTATTGAGAGGGAACAGTCAAAATATTTAGTTCTTGAAATATTTCTCTGAGAGATTCTCTAGACCGTAAATTATAAAAAAAAAAAATCTTAAATGTTAGCCGCAGAACCCCAAAACAATAGGCCATACGTCAATACACCATGAAAATAACTGAAATATACCAATCTTGCTATTTCAATATTTGACAAGAGCCAAATTTTCTTAACAACAAAAGCTGCAGAACTCAGTCTATTTGACTAGTTGTCTATATGAGGATCCCATTGCAGTCGGGAATCTATTGTAATACCAAGGAACTTAGTCGTTTCTACCAAATCAACTTTATCACTATTTACATTTATAAGTGTGCTAACATGCCCCACATTAGGCAATGAAAACTTTATGTATTTCGTTTTAATTAAGCTTTTAATTATTATTATCAAACCACTGTAGAACATTGTCGAGAGCATAATTGACATCGTCAAAACAATAATTATCCCTCTAAATTTTAAATGTTAAATTTGCTGTACCGGCTTTGCTTTCCTGTTGTAAAAATAAAATTAGTACAAGTTCTAATCTGCGATGGATTTCGAAAGGGATCAAGAAAGGTTGCCAGACAAATAGAAAAGTAAGAGATAAGTATTATAAAAATAAAGAATTTTTCCAACAAACACAAATATCACGAATATTCTAGAACACTGAAAAAAAATGTATTTTCCTAGCAAAAATCTGCGAATAAGCAGTTGGTATTAAAATGTAAAAATATATCAAAAGCTACATGGAAACCGAAATTGATATGACACATCATAATAATTATACTGACCCAATTGAATTTAATGGTAATATTATTAATGATCCATCAAATATTTCAGATATTTTTAATACAAAATCTGAAGGCTATAATAATATATGTACATATAGAATTAAAACATGTAAAGAATAATTTAGCCCTATTTTAACATTTTTGATAAATATGTCAATGGAAACGGGTATATTTCCTAAAAAGTAAAACACTCCATTGACAAACCTTTGCATAAGAAAGGCGATAAAACTATTTTTTTAAATTATCGGCCCATTACACTGATACCAATTTTATCAAAGATGTATGAAATAGTTATCCATAACAAATTAATATAGTTTTTTAATAAATGTAATGTTGAAATGTAAACTTGACTTGATTAACTTGATTGACTTGATTAACGAAATATAACAAAGCATTAACAAAAGCAAATATACAACGGCTCTTTTCTTTGATATGTAAAAGGCATTCGATTTTATTTCTCATGAACAACTACTAAAAACAATATATAACAATGGTATTAGAGTTACAGCTTTAAATTGGATCAAAACGTATTTACAAAATAGAATGAAATCTTTCGAAATAACTCAATTAGATTCAAAGGGCATAACTCGAAAGTATCAATTAGAATTAAAAGTAAAAAGCATTGGAGTTTCACAAGGCAGTGTTCTTGGACCTCTTCTATTTTGGTGTATATTAACGATCTACCGAATGAAACTACACATAGAAGTATTTAATTTACTGATGATATATCAGTGGTAGCGACGACTAATAATAATATGAAAATTTCTAACCATAAAAACGACATAAGTAATACAATAATGACCATAGTGAATTGGCTTAAATTCCATAATCTGACAATAAATAAGATAAATAGATTCTCATTTGCTTTATTTCAATTATAGAAAGTATAGACAAGAAGTATGGCTCTCACAGCATACTTCGCTTATGTGGAGTCAATTTTATGTTATGCAATTATTATTTGAGGCAACGGTACAGATGCGCAAAGGGTATTTATTGCCCAAAAAATGCATAAAATCCCTATGTGGCATCACTCCCGATGTCTCATGTAAACAATGGTTTAAATATCTCGGTATTCTTCCTTTTCCTTGCTTATATATACTTCAAGCAGCGAAATTTGTCAAACAATACTCTGACTATTACAAAATAGCTCAATAGTGTATCCCAGGAACACTAGATATAGACTAGTTCTTGACATAGTCCCAAATTAAGGCGTGCGATTTAAAAATAACTGCTACTGTATGTGTCAAACAATATTTAATCAGATTACGGAATCTATAAAGAATACATCTTTTTCTAGATTTAAGAAAGAGTTATATAACTGGCTTGCTGAGCGTACCTTTTATTCTGTGCATGAATTCTTAGATTATGGAGACTGAACGTTGGCGTTGAGTGGATTGATCAGTGCTTATAGTGACCTCTTTTACTACATTTGCATGCTATTTATGAGTAGCTCGGTGTCGTAGTGAATTAGAGCCGCGGCCCTTAATCGTAGTCGTTAAGCAACTTTCACAAGGGTCAGTCACGGGATGGGTGACCAAAAAATTATTATCTCGAGCTACTCCGTGCTTCGGAAGGCACGTTAAGCCGTTGGTCCCGGCTGCATTTGCAGTCGTTAAAACCCTCCAATCCGCATTGGGCCAGCGTGGAGAATCATGGCCCATCCTCCTTAACCATCCATAAGGAAGGCCTGTGCCCCTGCAGTGGGGCATAAAAGGGCTGATGATGATGATGATGATGATGCTATTTTTAAAGGCTATAATTGTATTACATATTACAATAGGCGATAATTGTATTACATTTTTACATCTCTTTTGTATTCTAACACAAATAAATTATTATTATAAAGAGGTGTCATCGGCAAATAATACTGTCTCGCACAAATTTTTCGTAAAGTGAGAAAGATCATTAATGTAAATTAGGAAAAGCAATGCCCTGAGGTACGCCTATAGTATTGGTGCCCCTGCAGATTGCGCTTCATTAATTTCATTTTAATTCTTTTCAATTCTAGCAGAAATATATGATTTTATTAGATTAAATGAATTTTTCGACACACCATAATGCTCTAATTTCCCCAAGTGTTTCATGACTAATGCAGTCGAATGCTTTGATAGATCGCATAAAATACCGATAGCATTTCCAAGCATCATAGTTATATCTTAGAAATGCAATTCCAGCGTCTGTGGTACATTTACCTCTGTTAAAACCAAACTGATTTTTGTGAAGTAATTTATTTAACGAAAATTCTGCAAGCAGTTGATTGTAAAAAAAAATCTCAAATATTTTACTTAGCGTAGTAGTAGTATAGATATTAGTCTGAAATTACTGGGAACTATACACTGGTAACTATACAGTTACGTACAAGTTTAATGTGTATAAACCATGTACCATGTCCATTTTCGTAGCAGCTTTTTAAGAATTACTAAAGTCTAATAAAACCTTTGTATTTGAATGGATATGGACGACAAAGATAAATGAAAATTACGAACCGAATCCATAGCAAGCATTCTCGATCGGCCTTCTGTTCCCAAAACAGTCAGTTGATGTACTAGGAGGATATTCCATCCCATTACGTTTCACTGATTTCAGTAGGCCACCTCTATATTCTCGAAGTTGTCTCTCATGCTCATTTGTAAATCCGTAGACAACAGATAAATCTAACAGGGGGGTCGGCAGATTGTACTAGAACAGAAAAGGCTGAATTAATACATTTATTATTGATTTAAATCATATTTGGCCTTCAATATTCAGATAGAAGTTACTTTTAATTTACCCTCTCTGCAGGTATGGCGTTGGATATACATCCCAACTCTTGGAAGGTGGGTACTCGCGTGAGGTTCATGCAGCGGATTCCGGTACGACGCAGATAGGGGTCGTCCGCAGGCACCGGTATGGCTATGCATAGTGGGTTCACACGGTTCGGTGTGTTACCAATGCAGCAGTCGCTCACCAGCACGGATCGTACTTATATAGTAAATAAACAAAAAATATTTTGCAATATTTATATCTTAAAGTATAACTTTAAAGCCGGGGTTCTACTCGTATGGATTACATCGATTTTTAATTTTTGTAACGAATATTATAGAGATGGTATCATAAAAATATTTGCAGACGCCTTGAGAATCTGAACAAGCACATTCAACTCAAAGTATATTAATTTGATGATTATGCAAAAATAAAGAAAAAATATGTACGGATTTCGTATTCTTAAATAATCTGCTTGTCGTACAGACGGTCAAGAATTATTTATCACCCCTATTATTATTACAGTGTATAGCGCTGTCCCTATTCCTGAACATAATTCTAGAATATCTTATGTTTACTTTTTATCAAGTTTTCACATCTGTTTCATTTAACTATTGGGTCTTGTCTCATTGATTTTTTACATATTAGTTGACGTGATCTTAATGTACCTACCTGTAAAATAGTCAACTAACAAACTGTTGGGTAGGTTGTGCTACATTAAATAAAATCGACTTACAAATAGCATTTACGTCAACGATGTCTGTAAAGGAAAATATAGCAAGTTGAGAAGCATGGACGGTGAAACGGTGGTCTACAGGATGACCGTCGCTTAGCAGCTTGGTACGCAGGAGCCGAGTGGATGGGAGTTCTGAACCATTCACCGAGGTCCGTAAAGTGTTCCCTGAGAAACAAGTCAGTATCTTCACTGCAGGAAAGAAACACAAAGAAAACAGGCAATAATCCACTATGCCGATTCAATGTAAATTGTTTCCAGATGCAGCATATTGGGTTAAAATAGTTTAACGTGTCTTCCATAACGTGCACGGAAGATCACGCAATAGTAAATGTTACAGACCGAATGCGTAAACCTTCATTTCCTTTTTTTTTACCTTAAAACACTGTTCTTTATTAAATATATTTATTTATCATTTTTTCATTATCTATATATTTATCTTAAGATGTATCCTCTATTTATTTATTTATTATTCACTCCGTCACTTCAGTATTGCTATCAGTATTTTCTTTTTTCACTGTAGCTTGAAAAATTGCTGTTTAGCAAAAAGGCCGTCTTTTGCTTCTTCCTTCTCTTTGTGATGTGTTGTTTTATATTATTATAAACTGTGTTATATTTGTGCAACAAAGTGATGATTGTTATAAACCGTTGCGCTGTAGAGCTTCTCAGCCAGAATAGAACAATTACCTAATCCGTAGCTAGCTGGCAACATTCGCAGCAGAGGAGTGGCCGTGCCGCCACGCGACGGGTACTTGGGGTTAGCGCAGGTGCCGTCCACGCGGCGACCTTCGTGTTTCTTACATGGCTCCACCCGAATTGTGCACAAGCTGGGGAGATACTGAATATTTACGAAACCGTAGTGATTGGCTAGTCGTAATGGAACTACCCAAATTTTTTTAAGGTGAATTGATCGATGAATATAAAAAAGGTACGATTATCTTTTTTATATCTAATTTACAAGGAATATTTATAGAAAAATATTTAAAATATTATATTTCCAATGAGGTACTTCCTCATTGGAAATAAAAAAAAAACATTAGTTCCCGAAATCAAACTAGATGTCGCTACGGTACGTTCTTGATTTCTCCATGACAACCCTTCCGGTTTTCTTTCATGTTTAAAAGTAAATTAGTTTTCAAAACTCAATAAACAACTCATATTCTATTTCTACTTTTTCGTATTTGTATTGATATCTAAGTTTCGAACTTATCAAATTTCACTTTTTTAATATGTTAGTTAAAAGGAACGGAAATTACTATATTTGGTCCATTCGTTTCCTTAAAAATTAAATTTTGCTAGAGTCGCCATCTAGTGGAGGTACTTTTTTAGTGCTTTCGTTTTTTTTTAATACTTCCTTATTAAAATTAAAATATCAATTTCGCATTCATAACGCTATATCAATATTTTTTTAGGTTTTCGTACCCAAAAGGTACAATGAGACACCGTTACTAAGACTCCGCTGCCCGTCCGTCCGTCTGTCTCCAGGCAGTATGTCATGGACCGTAATAGACAGTCGAAATTGTCACAGATGATTTCTGTTGCCGCTTTTAAAAAATACTAAAAAAGCATCATAAAATAAATGTTTACGTTTGCTATACAACAACGTGATTTTTTAGCGTTTTTTATGGATACGGAACCTTTCGTGCACGAGTCCGACTCTCTTTTGGCCAGATTTTTATTTTATTTTTGTTATCATGATATATAAAATCTATACTGTAACAATATAGCTGTTAATGCATAATGAAATAGTTACCTCGTAGCGTTTATAGAGTTGAGGAAAGTATTCCTTTCACTTTTCAGCGGCTTACCGAAGTATATGTCATATAATACCTGCGCGTACGCACAGTTAATATATAAAAAGGCACACACAACAGCCGCACGCATATTTGGAACTAAAATTTGTCTGTGCTATAACAGAATTACATAACGGTATTTACAGATATTTTAAAATTGAATTATTTAAAGTGGGGTAGACTGGGTTGAAAATGCAATATGTGATTTAACAGCACACAACACATTTATATTATTGGATTTTTAAGAAAATATGAATCTTAGATCCTAGACTATGCTAGTTAGATAATGTATGTAACTGTTATTTTAATTAATTATAAATACAAAATATGTCTGAGCATATACAATCAATAGCAGACTATAAAAATCTGTCAAATTTTTCCATGTGCGTTAATATAAAATTTTACGGTTTTGCTTAAATATCATTGATTTGATACAAACTCATATCGATGTAATAAAGCAATAGTAGGTAGGCCCGGACAAATTAGTAACAGTTAAACAATTAAAAATACACATAACCATATTAATCCATAGATACTTATGGAAGGATTTTCACTTTAAGTATGGACTGATTGAAGTATGTAACTTAATTGTTGTTTCTGTCGGGATGAGATGGTTTTCCGGGAAATTGGCCACCATAGCCAGTTACCGTCTTGCTTTCGTCGCTATCTTTGGGATCCTGGTTTATATGTTGGTCTGCTCAATGAAGAAAATCATATTTTCTATTATGTCTTTGATCTGGGTGTTGTGCTATCTTAATTGATTTAGATTTCAAATATATGTGATAATATGTAATATTTATCAATATTTTTTTCTGTATTGTTGTAAAACACCTACCGATGTAATAAAATACTCACTTACTTACATACTGTGCTATCGAATCACAGTTTAACCCCAGTCTACTATATTAATGAAAGGATGTAAACAAGGTTTTTTTTAATTAGTGGTTAGAATTTATACAATTATGTTATTAAATCAATTTAAAACAGATATTTTTAAAACCAAGCGATTTTTTTCTTAATCTGATTAAAAGATTTTATCATATCTTTAAAATCAATACATTGGAATTTAAATTTAATATCGCAAAGGTTTCTATTTTCTTTTGAAATAGATATAGCAACAGTGGGAAAGAAGTTCAAAAATTGTGTGATTGGAACTGGAATAAAATATTAACTATAATATTTAAATTAAGTTAGTGTTTTATAGTTTTACTCTTCCAATCTTATCGTTTATAATATTCTACAATTTTCTAATTTCATCCTTATTATTATTAAATAATTAGACTTAGGTATGTATGTATGTATTCATTAAATACATTTCCTTAAAAAATTTTCGTCGCGATACTAAAATTTAAATATATGGAACATAATATGGAACCATAAGAGATCGACGAGATAGTAATAGATACAGAAATGGCGCCATAGCAAAAATGATTCCATCTAATAAGCCTATTTTGCTGCGTGACTACACTTTGAAGTTTTTAAACATCTGAAGTCCGCTGCATTATAAGATATGGAAACGATTTCTAAACAGAACAAACGGAAATATATTAAAATTTGTTCACATTGTCTATAATTACATATGTAGAAAAGTTTTTTTTAGAAGCCCTGGGGGGGTACTTAAAAAAACATATATTACAAGAGCAGTTCTGTTACTTTCCGGCGTTAAGACGGTACATACAATTTTTAAAATCCTAATTGATTTAGACAGAAGTGCAACAAACAAACAAACCTGTTCCATTACGCGAAATTCTGTCAATGCGAGTGTTACATGATTAAATTAGGCATAAATGTATTATGTCCACCAAAAAAACTCTCGAGGCTGTAGACAGAACGTTATGAGTATGAGCAGCTATTGGTGTAAACGCAATACTGGATACTGGACTGCACTCTACATCGGGTGAATGACAGTCATGTTGTAGTGCCACCTCACACCGCTACAGGGCATCATGACTCTAATGTCTGGAGTCACACCGTTGTTATTGTACTAATAAATCATGGAAGTTATTTTCTGGTATAGTAAAATAATGATTTAAAATACATCAACGGATCTTTTGATACCTACTTAGCTATTATCTCTTTCTAATTGTTCACTACTCACACACATGTTATCTCAGCGAGATCGCTTCAGGCGATAAGAACTAATATGATAAAATTATTAACTATCTCTCCATTGTATTTGTGAACAATAACGTTTCTGTATATGTTTAGACAAGTCTATGACTTACTTTGTTGTTTCTATCAACAATACTTATGAGCATGTTCATCATACAAAATAATTTCAAAACTTTTTATTACGATATTTAATTATCTCGCAATGAACTTTAACTGCTATTTCATCAATCCTTTGGCCTGCCGACATTCCTATTTTTAATTAAATTTTTAGATTCCTCACACCTTTGCTAAACCGTTCTTTATATAAAATATATTTAAACAAATTGTGATTTTTATTTTTCAATTCGATTTAAAAGTTGGAATAAAGAAAATGAAACATGGCAAATTAGATAAGTATTTAAATGATACGACTCTAATTAAAATCTCAATTATTGAAAAAATGGCGATTAAACCTTTTATATTGTATTGAATTTATGGACTATTGTATTTCTCTGATTTGAAATTAGGAAAGATATAAAGTGTTTTGTAAACACTTTGATACGAGTATAAGAACAAACTCAATAAGAAACGCAGCAATAAAGTGACAAAAGTCATGGGAAAAATAAAAGAATATATAAAATTATTTATTTGAAGAGTCTGGCTAAGCTATCGTAAATACAAATAGTCATCTTATTTATATGATACTAGCTTTTGTCCACAATTTCGTTTGCATAGTATTAGCTTTATATTTATTATTAGTTTTAGTTTATAATATACTTCAAAAAAAAAGTATAGATTTTCAATTAATTCAGTGATTTTGTTTAACATAAAACACTAGAAGAACTTTATCGACTAAAATATTTTAAAATAAAAATGTTTATTTTTAAAAAGAAGCAGACGTAAAATAATTCTTATTATTACAAATTCAAACTTTATTTGTAATCGAATTTGTAAAAAATGTGTTTATTAAATTTATAAGTATAAGAATTATTATTCGATATTTTTGAAGTTGTTTTTGCTCATAGTTTTCAACAAGTTTACATTCTTTTTATGTTGATATAAAAACTAATTATTGGTTTAAAATAAAGTAGAAGCATGTATAAGAATGTGAGTAAATAAATGATTCCCTTTACAAATTTTATACGTCTTTTCATTCCTTCGTAGGATTTCGGTATAAAATCTATTCTATATCTTATTAAGGTCTTATACTTTTAATTCAAAATTTCATCAAATGGTTTCAGACCGAGTAACTTTTGCTTTTCTATTTATTTCTCTGGTAAAATATCAAAAATCTTGGTACTGTTACGTCCGTGCACATTACTATAGGTAGGGTTTACTCTTCGGAGAATTTATGGTCAATGCTGGCCGTTAATATTTTGAATTATTACTTTTCCGTATTCTAAATTCGCGTGTTTGTGATTTGCTGATGAATAATCTTTCTTCTTGATCGAGACCGGCATAGAATTAAGATATTAGAGTTTCTACCTCTTATAATTGATGCCAAAGAGAAGGTTTATTCCTGGGATTTATTAATTTAAACAGATTCGAGTATTTCGAGAACCCTCTCGAAAAAGCACCCGTTTTTTCTGGTGGTCATCATAAAATTATCTTTTAAGCCCTTAACCGTTAGTCTAGTACGACATAAAGTAAATTAAAAGTATCTATTTAATAACAGTTGGAAAAATAATGTAATATAGGGGTTTAAGGTGTATGGCCCTCATACAAAAATATGAATATTAGTATACTGCATTCTCAAAATTAGTTATTTTATCGATGGAAATGTAATAGTATAATTTAGCGAAGATTTTTTAGCGAAGACTCCCTCCCTCCGTCCCTCCGTCCCTCCGTCTGTCTCTCTGTACGTTGATACTTGGCTGCATCTCGTGAACCGTGTTAGTTACACAGTTAAAATTTTCATGGATGATGCATGTCATAACAAATACTAAAAAATAGAATAATATAATTATTTAAGGGGTTGCCATACATTCAACGCGTTTTTTTCTCCTTTCCGGTACGGAACCCTTATTGCGCAAGTTAGATTCGCACTTGACTGGTTTTTTTGACAATTTCGTTTCCATGGAATACCGCAGCCTATGCACACAGCTCATGTTTAATTCTATTATATTGTTGGGTCAGAAAATACTGCTGTAAGCAATCTTCCGAATTTCTTAGCTAGTTTGAAATATAATTTTGCTTCGCGCGATTATAGTAACTTCACTTTCTATTTCTATACGATATTGATAGTATCACAATCAAAATTTCACTTGATGATAGCTTATTTTTGCATCCATATTTTTTCTCTTATCTGTTTTATACGGGTTTCAGCAGGCCTACTGCGGGACGAAATTGGCTTCGATTTAATTGATATTGAAATTAATCAAAATGGAATGCAATTATGCAGTAGCCCTAGCAGCCGTCTATTTCGTTAATGTTTGGGGCATTTATTAGATCGACTGTAGTTTCGTTCAACTAATGTTTTTTATCCTACTCAACACTACATACGCCCTACATTACTCCAGATGATTTTCTTAGATATATAGACTGCCAATCTCGCCTTGAATAGATGTTTCTTGTTACTAAACGCTCTCTTAACTATAGATGCATTAATTATTTTTGTTATTAAAACAATAATATCATTACATCTTTATAAATTAAATGTTACCGAAAACATTAAAAAAATTACTGTCAAATCGTAACAGATACATACACACAAAATAGTGTTCATAAAATCGCCAATATATTCTTTTCTCAAAAACTACTCATCTAATTATTTGGTGTAAAAGACAGTTTTTATGTACATTACATTTCTTTGACGATAAGCATATTTATTTGGATGAGAATTAAATATCACCGACTGAAATAAATGTCTAAAGACGAACAAAATATTTATATAGTCTTTAACAGATTTTTTTCTATTTTTATGGAAAAATTTTAGCACATAGATATATACTATTGTGGACTTTTTTTATACATTGTTTAAAGCTCTCCAAAGTTCCTTTAGAAAGCATTCCTATATTCGTAGCGTTCACAAAAGCCTATTACCACCTAGTTCACAAAAACCTATTACAACCCACCTAGTGTCTTAAACTACTCAAATACCAATTCTCATTGATATAGGTCAAAACAAAGAAGTTTCATATTTACATTTTCGACCTTTTGACCCCCTTCCGGGTGGAATTTTAAAAAATCCGTTCTTAGTACACCTCTACGTAATAAATTTCAAGTCTCTAGAATCTCATCACATCTCTTTTCATCTATTTTTCCAACTTTCGCAAAGATCGGTCATGGGATGGGTGATCAAAAAATAATACAGATGGAATATGAGTTCAAATAAAATAATGATCCACTGGAAAAGGTAAAAATTGCCAATCACTTTGAAAACATAATTAACAGGGCATATGAAAATCTCGGAATTATTTTTGGGGTCACTAAGGAGTTTAAGACGCCGCTTGCATTAAAATATTGTATCACGCGTATGTACAGTCCACCCTTGAATATTGTAGTGTTGTCTGGAATCCAAAATACGTCACGCATGAACACGCTCTTGAAAGACTACAGATGAAGTTCGTAAAATGAAGTACTTAATTTATATACATAAACTCACACATACAAACACACATATACATAGTTGTCGTACGATATAATTTATATGTAAATGTATTTTTGTCTAATACTTAAATTTTCTTTGTTAACTGTCCTCATTATGATTAATTAATGAATAAGATTTGTAAATATAATTAGTTTCTATAATTGGCGTTAATACTGCATACTTATTTTTGTATTGAAATAACAAAACTCTTATTAAAACTTCGTTGAATAAATCAATAAATAAAATCTCGAGTTCCGGTTGCATTTGCAGTCGCTCATACCCTCTAATTCGCATTGGGTCAGCGTGAGCTTAACCAAATATCAGCTTCTTCAAAAATGGTTCGGTTTCATTACGGCGTAATAAAGAATTACAAATGAGTACACGGTTCATTAGGTTTCTTTCAGTGAGCTCGTGAGGTACCCAAATATCCAACTCTTTTGTGTACTCAGCTTTTTCAAATGCACCAAAATTGTTTTATGGTCAATTTCCAGTTTTTCAGCTACGTCATAATTACTGATATAACGGTCATGCTCCACTTTTTCAAACATGGCATTCATTTTATCCGTAACAGGGCGACTGGAGCGACGTGAATTGTGACATCAAAATTTCCGGACTAAAACGTTAAAACCAAATTTGTGTTACTATCAGAAAAACTGCACTAAGTTCATAAACGTTATAATTTTTTTAGCGGCATTACATTTTTACCTTTTTTTGCAATAAAATATTAAAATGTACAGAATTTACATAGAATTTACGTACAAATGTACATTAGATTCACTAATCTTGACATTAACAAAACAAATGAAATTTACAAATTTTCCTAATTTGAATTAATTAATATTTAATCTCTTTATCGATAACGAAACCAGTCAGATACAAATAGTGTAGCCGGAAAGAATTTATTACAAGTTTATGCGCACTATATGCGAAAAGATTTCTTCCCCAACCTAACAGATGCTATGTATTCTGCATACAACTACTACTGCTTACAATTATATTATTACTTACCTAAAAACGGTCATAACGCTTGTAATTTATAGTTTTTTTTTTATTTATTTGGCTAGTCTTTTTCTAAGTTACATACATAGCAACTTAAATGCGGTAAAGTTTTTTAATAAATTATTTAGTTGTTAATAGATATACAATTTTAGGTGTCTTTTAGAGACAAGTAAAAACATCAACAATCTGTATTTTAATGAAAGCTATCGGAATATCACTATAAAATAATTAATGATTAATCAAATGAGTGATTAAATGTATTGATGATCTAATCGACTTCGATATTTGAATATACCAATAATAATAATAACATTACCCTCCAATCCGCATTGGGCCAGCGTGGAGGGTCATGGTCCATCCTCCTTAACTATCCATAAGGAAGGCCTGAGCCCCTGCAGTGGGGACGTAAAAGGGCTGGTGATGAATAATAACATTTAATAAACGATTTCTATTCTTTTTGTCACGAAAGGACGACAATTTAAAAATAATGATAATCCGCCAACACTTCAAGAGCAATCGCATTTTAGTTCCTTGATCTCATTTTTATGGACATATGTCAGTTACTTTTTGTTTGACTAATAATTAATTATATATCCAAAAAAGTTTGTATAAATTTCATGCTTATATACGCAATGGAATATATATCTAGTATATGTTTGTATTTATAAATATAAGGAATTCTATAAATTGGAAAACATTTTTTGTTAATAAAGCGTAGAGATTAAGGTCATCGTCTGAACAAGATTTTCCTTTGAGACCGGTGACAAAGTGAAAATGATAAAAAGTAAATTGGAATCAGTGTTCGTGATCGAGGACTTAAGAGGAATCGACGAGCCAATTTCAACCTTATTCAATAAATATTCAAAGAAAATAAGATACTATATAAAAGCATTATACGGTAACACCTGAGCGTTAGAGGTCTTCTTTGCAAAGAAAACTAAGAAGAATGAATAAAGAAAATTCAAATATTTCTATAGAAATATCTTAATAGGAGATTTTTTTACATAATAAAAGGTTGCTTTCCAGAACTTTATTCAATTTACATTTTATTTATACAGTCTGTTAGATATTTTGCCTCGTGGCTGAGTAGTTCGGACGCTGGTCTTAAGGTGTCCCCATCTATGAGGTGCCAGGTACGGTACCCGGTCGGGTCAGTGTAAAAACTGAACTATCTCGGGTCTGAGTATTGTGTTACCTTCGTCGTTCATAGTACAAGTATTTTAGTTAATTCGCCATCTGAACAGAATAATGTATGTGATGTTATTTAATATTGCTTTAGAATAGAATAGAATAGAATAGAATAATTCTTTATTGTACAAAAACACCAATAAATAAAATAGGTAACAATAATATAGGACAAATAGTACAATCGGCGGCCTTATCGCTAAGAAGCAATTTCTTCCAGGCAACCGTTACTTTGGAAAATTTTAATTTAAATCAATTTTATAAATTAAAAAAATCAATTTAAATCAATTTTATAAAATAATAAATTTTATTGCAATGTTAGCAAGTCATAGTTACCAAATAATGTATTATCTCAGGTTCGTTCTTCTTTAGTCGCCACTTCAACTCCTTGCTGCACCAATAGTCCACACTCGACCCACAGGATGGGTTCTCCCTAGATAATAGTAGGGATGTTAAAAAGAGGCATAAAGCCAAAAGACTGCCGCTGTCTATCGAATATATCGAAGTTAAACAGCGCTATTTATAATCACGCTAAAGCGTCAGAGTAAATTTTTAATAAAATTGCATTTTTATTATTAGCCCAAATTCCTGCTTACCTAACCTACCTATACCTATATTAACCTACTTATCTTCTAGGAGTACATATTACTCCAGTAAAACCTCGTACTTGGTTAATTTTTGCTACAGTCGCCATCTAGTGGAGGTGGCTTTTTGGTTCTTTCTTTTTATTTTTAAATAGTTCCCCATACCATACGTGAGCATCCTTGATTTTATTAGTCTGTGGCATCAACCCGATTCAATACATTAGTAACAGCTGTTACGAAAACTTCATTATGAAAGACTTCTGTTTGATCACCTGTGTAAATTTTTACAGTAATATTGGTGACTTATTTGTCAGTGTTGTGTTTACTTTAAATTTTATTTATTATTAATTATACTATTAAAATGGCACGTTGCAAATGAATATTTAAAGAATAATCCTCATTTAATATTTTATGCTGCCCTCTTGATTTATTAAGTAATTCAATCATTATTTTAATTGTCATTAATGAAATGTAATAATTGACGTATACTGAGGATAATATTATAAAGTGTATGGAAGAGCTTATTTAAAGTACTGAATTTAGAAAGTTCGCCGCCGAATACTGACTCCTTCGGTCCAGCTCAGGTTTAGAAAAACTAACCAAAAAGTTTTAATGAGCCGAATTAATTACCGAGTAGATTTTCGTTTATAACGAAGCATTTTGAGATCACTCCAAGTTAATGTTCACTGCTAGAGCACTGTCGTTGCTGACCCGGAGTTGCCATCGACCTAGGATATTCCACAACCGCTGCCCGTGCCACAGCGACTTAATCGCCTCTTCCCACGGCTCGCGATCGTCTTCGTAACTAAACCACAAGATAACTTTTCCCATTTGATGTCCGTGAGAAACACTGAGTGAAATCTATTGCACTCATCCTTTGAGATCTACAATATATTTTATGCGAAACAGAACATTCTTTTCTTTCACCAGCTGCATCAGCTGCGGATGCTTTACGCTTCACTTGTCAGTCTCTTACAACATCACATGTCCTATTAGGCCAAAACGTGAATTTCTTAAACTAAATAGGAAAAATGTCAAAGTTATAACTATAGTTAATTTCTGCAAAATTAGGAGAGACATGTAAATTCATCATTTCACCGACGACGTTGGGGTATTTTTCAACTTAATCTAAAGTTTAAAAAATATACCAAAATGATGAGCTATGAGCCCGCGTAGCGTTCTTGTCGGCTGATTACGAACCGATCTTATGATAATGACGCTTGAACTAATTTGAGTCCACCACTTGACTGAATGCTGACATGAAAATGTACGCGTTTGTTCGTATAATTTGTAAAAATATATCTTTTGGCTGTTTGGGTGGATTAGCTGAATGTTTATGAAAATACGCTTACTAGTAATGGAAAGTAACAAGTGTTTGAATTCCTCAGTCCTCTTGGGTCTCTGGTAGCTCGGTGGTTATTTATAGCTTAAAGGTTGTGGGTTCTATCTCGGGGTACCTAGGGATGGTGTATTTTTTAAGATGCGTAAGATATTTACATTAAAGAATGCAAATGTATAGACAAGTGTGACAAGGATTAAAAGAACGTCTATTTATTCAATTAGTTTAATATTTTTTAGTCTTACATAAAATAATATTCATAAATACATATCTACATGATGGTCTAAATTATAACTGTTCTTTTTAGTTCGCCATAATTGGATAAAATCTAAAAGAATATATATTGTTTTATTCTACGGCTGTTGTTATCTACGAGATATGGTTATTTGGAGAGAAAAAAGATCTGAAATGTGGGTTAATATCTACATTTAAATTTGTAATTGAAATCAACGCAGTTTTTCTAGATAATTAGTTCAACTTTAATTACACATTGCATTTAACATTGTTAACAACAACTGAATAAACATGATTTTTTAATCGTTCATAATAGATAGATTTCTGTTATAAAATCGGGTATATTGGGCCAAAATGGTAAAATAATCAATTGCGTCAGAGTAAAAGTTATCAGTTACTGTGTAAGTTTCTTGGTTCACTCATGTTTTGTATGAGAAAATTGATCCGGTATGCTACCGAGTAAATAAATTGAGTTCGATTTGGCTGACATTGATTTAAATCGAAACTTATTGCTATAATAGTGTCAAAAGCAATCAATGTTCAAAACAGTTGAATCGAATGCCATCCAAATCCTGCGGTAGGCCTGCAATGGGAGTATACAACGAGGTCAATGGCGTACATAGGTGCAATTGATCCTGTGGGATAATTGTTTTTCCATATATGTACCTACCTATAGATACAGAAAAATAACTTTCCCTGGATCCATTAAAATTGGCTAATAAATAAGATAAAATTGTATATGCATTTTTATTTAACAACTTAGTACTACTTTTCTATAAGAAACTAACGTTTAGAGGCTATTGTTTGTTCCATTGCAAAATGGCTCAGTTTGACGCAATCTCCCCTAAATGTGGTTGATTACATTTTAATTTGTGTATAAAAATTTGACGGTGCTACCGCTTTTATTGTATGTAGTTCCAAATATGCGTGTGCGTGTTGTCTGTGTATTGTTTTATATTCACTGTGCGTACGCGCAGGTGTTGTACGATGCATACTTCGGGACACCGCTGAAAAATGAAAGAAGCACCTTTCTCAACTTTATAAATGCTACTAGGTAACAATTAAATACTTGAAAGTGAACATTATTTTTTATATTAATTATCAAAACTCATAATTATATTCAATCACTGTTTGTAATACCTACGTTTCCAACAACTATTGAAGAATTGTTTCGCAATATCAGTATGATTCTACTAACTGATGGACTCATACTGATATGTTGCGTAATGGTGTTTAATGTAATGATGACAAGAAGTTGTAACTTGTCAAATAAATAATTTTTAACATTCTTTTGTTTTTAAATTATGAATGAAAAAAGACAAATGAAAAGCTTTTTGATTGTGGTGAAGCACAAAAGCTGCCCGTCATACAAATTTTGTTCGGACTGTTTGATGGCCTAAAATCTTGGGCCAGAGATATCGTAAAGACTAATAAAACAAATCAGTTCTTAAAATTTGCTTCATTCAAATCACAATGTTCTTAGCATTCCTTCCAATTCCACCATCAGATGCTCGGAATTTATCTCGGACGAAAGTCCATGTCAAGACGAACAAACGACCCCAAACTTGATGGGGCTGCTTCATTTGCAAAGGCTATCTTCCGCCTCAATCATAATATCATCCATCAGTTCACATAGCTTGAGCTGATGGTGTTATTTTTGATTTGATTGAAATGAAATTTTAAAAAATCCAGTTCGAGGGAGTATGTCAAATTACTTGTACTATTTGACATACACTAACAAAATTGAAGTCCCCTTAAAAAATTAAGAGGTCGTTTCAAAATTGCTTACTTATACATTAAAAAAGTCTCCTTTGCCATTTCCGTAAACTAATATTTTGAAGCATCATAAATATTCCTTTGTCCTCAGTTCATGTGTAATCCGAGTAAAGCCATGTAACCAGCACGAAGGTCGTCGTGTGGACGGCACCTGTGCTAACCCCAAGTACCCGTCGCGTGGCGGTACGGCCACTCCCCTGCTGCGGATGCTGCCAGCTAGCTACGGATTAGGTAATTTATGAATTATTCCAAATTCAAATTCAACATCATTTATTCAGTCTAGGTCACTTGTAACAGAAGTGTGAATGTCGGAAGCTATCCCATCGGCTCGAAAATCTACAGCGGGAGACCATATAGGGAGAAGAACAAGCAAGACACTCAGAAAGGGTTATTTTTATCTCCTTGATTTATCAAAATTTTACAAAGAATACTATAATGTCTATTTCCTTAATTTTCTCCCTTAAAGAGCAATATTTTAAATTGATCTAATTGCTCTTTTCTGAAGCACAAAAATCTTGTATGTCATCAGCATTTCCCCACAATAGGATTCCGTACGATATTACGCTATGAAAGTAACTGAAGCATACTAATCTGGCAGTATCTGTCTGTTAACCCATGTATTTATTAATATGTGGGCCCCACTGTAGTTTAGAATCTAATGTTATTCCTAAAAATACCGCGGTATCCACAAGACCCATGTTCTTATCTTTTATATTAACATTTATATCTACTTTTTTAACATTAGGTAGTACAAATTTAAGGCATTTTGTTTTTCCTTCATTAAGGAGAAGATTATTTATATTAAACCAATATACAACTTTAGCAATAGAATTGTTCACATCGTCATTTAGAGGTAGCCCTTTTTAATTTTAAACAAAAGTGGTGAAGGCAAGTCATTTATGTAAATTAAAAACAATAAAGGACCAAGTAACTATTTTCAACTGATCACAACGCGTCACCGTAGCCTAATGGATAACTGTGTAGGCTCCCTTTAACGAACGGCGATCGCACCTGAGCGCACACCACCAATTTGCAATAATTTTTCTTTTCACTATTTTCACTGGTGAGGACTCCAAGTTAGTTTTGGCGCAACCCTAAGAACAGGGGGGCGAAAACCGGGGCTTCGATATAAGAACAAATTTGCTTAACAAAACTTAGAAAACAGCAACAACAATGAAAGCAAAAGTAAAAATGTAAAAGCAAAAGTAAACTTGTAAAAGTATACTTACGACATAAACATGGCATTATGGCATATTTAGCATTTCAAAGACAAAAAGAAAAATAACTTGTTGCCTATAAAGAACTATTAGATTATTTCAAACTCCGAATCTTAGAAAACCAGAGGAATAACTGATCTAATTTTTTTATACAATCTAACTAATGGTCAATTGGATTTTCCATTACTTATACTAGTTAACCACCCAATTCAACGGCTGACCAGTTGGCTGCAGTCCAGAGGCTGCAGTCTCGACGGAGCTTGCGATGTAATACTGCCACCGCTCAAAATTTTTATTTGGGGCATCTTAGACGCTAATTGTTGGATTCTTTGAGTATGATAGAGGTCTATTGAATTAAAAGATAAACATAAAATTATCTGTATTGCAAGAGAGGATGATTATACCCACTAAGTATTATGTGACAACAGTTAGCTTTATTATTTTTTCCTGATAATTACAGTAAAACCTTTATTATTATCTGAACTAATTGAATAAGTCAGTTGCAATTTGTGTCGCCCCACGTTGGCCCTAAATTGACCCAACAACGATAGACGAACTCAAATTTCTAATAACGACTGGACTAATTTGAATTTTTCCCTTCTGGACCCAAGGCTCTCCTGGAGGACACCCCTGGGGGTGCCATGGGAACTTTAATTCGGACCCATGGCACCCTTAGTTTAATTAGGACAACATGATGATCCTTATAATATTCACTGAAATTATCTACTAAATTATTTACTTTAAAAATAGACAATTAAATACAATACGAGCTCTCACTAATATAAAGCTCTTTCGAGTAACATGGGCTATATTCATTTAAAAAAGACTAAAAAATTAGTGAATTAATCTATTAAATATAATATTAGAGTTTAAAAGCTGGACACTGTTTAAAAAAAACAGGCAAGTGCGAGTCATGGCACCATACTTACCTAATATTTATTTTTAAATTATTAGATCTAACAGTCGCAAAAGTTGATTTCAGATCATGTCGGGGACGATTTTATGTGTATTGCATTATATTATATTTTATTATATAGTATACTAGTGGCCGCCAGCGACTTTGTCTGCGTTTTCCATTATTTTTTCGCTTCTAATAGTTGCAGCGTGATAGCCTAAAGCCTTCCTCGATAAATGCTCTATTCAACACAAAAAGAGATTTTCAATTCGAACCAGCAGTTCCTGTGATTAGCGCGTTCAAACAAACTCTTCAGTTTTATAATATTAGTATAGATTGTTCACATAATTATATTTCAGTGCTCTCACTTCCTGTATACTTTACTCACTTTCTATGGTCCGCTTGGCAGGGTCACCATCTGATATTCGGAGCATGGATAAATAAAATACGTTTGTTCTGAATAAGAGACGTTTATTGAATTACATTTATTCAGTTTTCATTAACTATATCAAGTACGTCATAAAAATTAAAGCATTCGTGTTTTCAGGGAACACGTTAAGGACATCGTTGAACGGCTCGGATCTGCCATCCACTCGACTCCTGCGCACTAAGCTACTGAGCGACGGTCACCCTACGGATCATAACTTCAACAATCTTGCCTCTCACTTTGGCGTCTTCGCCACCATAGACAACATAGACTTGACCGGCATATGTAAATAAAATCAATTTAAATACTGACGTTTCTCAGATATATGTTTAACTTTAAATTGGGATCAATCAATATTATTACAATTTAGGTTTTGATAGGAAGCGAATATTTTTTTTTCTTAAAATTAGCTGGTTAGTAACACGTTAACGTTATTCTGTAGCCACCGCCTAACTCATGGACATAGCCGTAATCGTAACTATGACCTACGTTTTATAAGTTTTACACATGAATCTGTTGATATTGTTTTAAAATTAATAATTTTTTATTATTTACATATTTAATCAATTCTTTTAGTTGTTTTTGTTTGCTGAATTATTAAAGTTAAACGAAATTTACAAAATGTCGAATTGATACAAACAATGCTATTTCGAAAAGAAAAACAAACCAAAATGTTTGATAAAATATACAAGTTAAAAAAACAATTAATTTTAAAAGAATATAAACAGATTCATAAGAAATATCGATAAAGCGTAGGTTATAGCTAGGACTACGGCTACGTCCATGAGTTAGGCGGTCGCGCCCCAGGTACCTATGGAGTACGGACCCTCCGTTTGAGCGATAGAAAAGTATATTAAAAATTGTGATTAGCCTATAAGATAATAGCTTAATAACACATACTTCACTTTATTACAAATGAAATAATGTATATTTTTTGCAGATTACACCAAATAAAATTAAATATTTCTTAACATTCTATCTGAGACGAAAACGCCTTGTAAATGTTTGCAATTCCGATGACGTCACACGCTAGTAAATATGGCTTCTTGTAAACGATTTTAGTATGATGAGATTTGTTTATTTACTAGCGTGTGACATCATACGCGGAGTAATGGCGTCCTATTAATATGACAGCCACAGCGTTCTTTGTAATAAAGAAGTACTTAAAACTATTTTTTAAAAATTAGTCATATACCTTATTTCTATTAATGTAACATAACAATAACTTACAATGCATAACAAAAAAAAATAGTGCGCTATACGCCGGTGAGCGACTGCTGCGTCGGCAACACGCCCAATCGCGTGAATCCTCAATGCATCTCCATACCGGTGGCGGCTGATGACCCGTATCTGCGCCGCACCGGCGTCCGCTGCATGAACCTCACGCGGATGCCCACCTTTCAGGAGAGAGGTTGCATATCCAACGCCATACCTGCAGAGAGGGTAAATAACAAGTAATAATACCTTACTTCCTACTAATATAGTGAAGCTAGCTACCTACTAAATCTAGCGTGTTATGAAAACTGTTATTTTTCCGTACTTACCTATTTAAGAATGAAAATTTTCTTTAATCAGTACAATAACCTAAGTTATTATATTTGATTGATTTTGAAGTCAAGTTATTAATGAAAAATGCAAAAAAAACTGCTTTGTTCCATGGCACTCTGATGTTTTTTAATATAACCTAAGTTCTTTCTGGCTATAGTTTTCACAAGTCAGTACTTGTTAATATTCAAAATCTTTTTTATTTACCGAAAGAAAGTGACGAATACTCATGTTTACGATGCTCATATCTGGCAATATTGAAGCAAAGTAAACAAGCTTAAGCAAATAAGTAATAAGCAAAGTAAAAATCAGCCTCGGAACTTTGTTTGAATCTCTCTACAACGCCAATGAATTTAAATAATTATCGTAAAACTTATAGTAATATAAGTTATATTATATAAAACATAGATATATAATTCATGTACAAAAAAATGAAAATAAAATTACATATATTTGTTTTCCCAATAATGTAATGTGACGGGTTCGATGCTTGGGCAAATGAATGAAATGAATAAGCTTGTGAATTGATTTATTTTATGGTAAATAAGTAAAGGGTAAAGAAAAAAACTGTAACAAACAAAAAATGAATATAAAAACAGTACGTAAGTTACCTAAATATAAAATTACAATTGCTAAATAGAACAAATACATACTCCTCTTTAGGATTGCCGTGATACGTAAACTTGGACGATATATCAAGATATAATTTTATTTTAATTAATATATATATAATTTCTATTTTAATCATAATAACTTCATTATTATAATATTTAAATTTTTATAATAACATGTTCACAACAGATGATTTTTTACGAACTCACATCCATAAAGAGCATATTTGATGAGTCAAAATTTCAAATTACGAAAGGAGAATAATAAAAAGAAATTATGTTAAATATCAAAGACCAAAAGTTTGTATGCTGAAACCAAGGACGAAATAAACGGTGGTACGGCACATCGTTACAGTATGAACAAGATTTTTTTTTTGTGTTTGGTTTGAAGTCCCCATTAGCTACATACTGTCCTATAATATACCCGTAAATACAGAGGACACCATTAATATGAAATCAGATTTAAAATATTCTAATAAAGAAAAAGTCTTTATATCAAAGTAACCTACGTTATCTCACCGCCTAAATTGAATAATTTATATTGGATTCAAAAATTTAATTCAATCTTAAATAATAATTCTTTTTTTTTTGTTCTAGTACAATCTGGTAACTCCTTTATTAGATTTATCCGTCGTTTACGGATTTACAAATGAACGTGAGAGACAAATAAGAGAGTACAAAGACGGACTGCTTATATCAGAGAAGCGTAACGTTGCAGAATATCCACCTGGCACAGCACGCGACTGTATCGGAAACAAAAGGCCGATTGAGAATATTTGCTATGAATTCGGTACGTTACGTAGGACCTAAAAGGAATTTAAAGTAGAACGTCTTATCTAATTTAATTTTTACATTATGCCAATCACTGCGCTGTCGGTTATTGCACTGATGCATCGAGTGCGCTCACCTGTCATGAGATTTCGTAGTTAGGCTTACAATCCAATATTAAGAAGTAAAAACTTGGAGTGAGATATAAAATATGTCAACCACAAACATGTACATACATTAAAGTTATTATATTCTATTCTTTTCCTACCCTTCTCTCCATATTGCCTCAAACAATGGTTCTCTTTTCGCTCTTCTTTGTCACTGAGTTCCTTGCTATTCTCATCATACCTCATTTTAGATATGCCGCGTCATACTTCCGATTTCTTCTACTATTCCTTTTCTGTGCATGCTGTGCGTTTGTCAGGAACACTCGCTCACTAAGTTCTTTTGGCGATCGAGTTGAAAACTATTTCCTTTCTCTTTGCTAATAGTTTGTCTTATTCAAGGCTTATTTTAGTCTTATCTAAAGACATATCATATCCTTCTGACCTTTGCATCAAATACCCCATATTTTCAATTTCCTTTTATTATTCTACTCCATAGGTTGCCTGGAAGTTTAGCAATAGCTGCTGTTTAGCAATAAGGCCGCCTTTTGTGTACTGTGTATATTGCTATACCGTGTAATTTGTTATTGTTTCCTGTTTGTATGTGCTATAAAGATCATTAAATTGTGCATTTATTATTATTACTTATGACAAATTTCCAGTTATTTTTGAAGCGTTCTTTGTCGGAAAAAAAAGATCGGTAAAATTAATAGAAATCTCTTATTATATTTACATGTTGTATTTGTTAAACGAGAAAGTTTTAAAATACTATTAAATTTCAGGTGACACGATGGGTGGTAATATTAATTCCGGTGTAACACTGGTCACATTGTGGTTCTTCCGGGAACACAATCGTCTGGCACATAAGCTGGCAGAGATCAACCCGTGCTGGACAGATCAGCAATTATTCGAAACAGCTCGATACATAAACATCGCGGAGTGGCAGCACTTGTTTTACTACGAACTTATGGCAGACTTGTTGGGTAATAACAGTTATAAGAATTTAAAATTTATTTTAGGAGGGGCATCGTATTTAAATCTTTTTCTATTTCACTGTTGAGAGATTATTTCCTAATTAGGTAGGGAGAATGCTATGAGGACTGGGATCATATACGACACGCAAGGCTATGTCAATGACTTCGACGAGAATTACGAGCCAGGAGTCTATCACGAGTATATCGTCGGCAGCCGCTGGTTCCACACTTTCCAAGATGGGCGGTCGGAGTGAGTCTCTATTTGAAAATATTTATATGTTCGAATCCTTGTATGATAGGTAGATTTTGTATTAATTTTTATTACCTTCATCACAGTTTATACAGCAGTAGAGGCTATTATCTAGGCTCAAGGACAGCGGTGGATGATGCGTTACGCAGCGGCATACTCGAGCTCAACAACACAGAGGCAGACCTCACACAGGGCGCCTTCCGTCAACCCTCACATAAGTTCGACTATGTCATCGACCCTGACGTAAGAATAATCAAGATTTTCTTCATCTAATTACGTGAAATAGGAGTGCAAATGAAAATTCTGGTTAAAATTATATACTGGAACCGGACCCACGTGGAAAGTCAGGGAAAGTTTCAGTAAATTTTATTTATGTATAAATATTTTAAAAAGTTCATAAGCAAAATATATTCTAAGTGCAGTATAAAAAGCAGTTTAAAGATTTATCATCATCATACAAGATTTATCAGAAGTGCAGAGGATAGTCTTTAGTTGCTTAGTAAGATCACCATTAGAGTTTCCCCGCAAACCACCGCACTATCAAGTACCTTAATTTAGCAAGCCATTTGCCTGCACTAATTTATAGACATATGCTGCTATGTACCGCTTACCTTATGCTAACAACGGATAAGTATCGGGGGTTGTTGACATTTTCTGTGACTCGTTAAATGTAAGATTTATCGTAATTTTCGTTGGTGATCCAAATAAATTAATAAACAAAATTATCATCACCAGCCTACTGAAGTCCCAATTGCTGGTGCAAATGTCTGCCCTATGGAGATACGCCCTACAGATGTAGGGAACCTTAGACATTAAAAACTCTTGCAAATTCTTGTCATGATCGTATCTACATATTGCATCGATTAATACCAGATCATTGTGTTACATACGTCAATAAGTCCATATTTCTCAGATGGCGGAGCGTATAGCTGGTGAACTACACACAGCACTGGACTTGAGCGCCGTGGACATCGCTCGTGGCCGTGACCAGGGTCTGCAGCCTTACAACCAGTACCGCAAGCTGTGCGGACTGCCCTACGCTCATAAGTTTGAAGACTTCCACGACGTTATATTCCCAGATGTGAGTATATTTGTATTATGTATGCATATTATGTGTGCATATTATATGTAGATTCTATTTGTTCTCTAATTTGAAGATGGCTCTATTAAGGCCCGTTGCTATAGTCTTCTAGATTCTTATGTTTTTTCTTTAAATTTGAAGCTGTTAAACCGCCATAGATTAGCAGTAGTAAACTTCTCTACACATTTTAATATCAAAAATATCGTAATGAATTTCGATACTCATTAATTTAATTATAAACGATTTTAGCATATTGTAAGTGTTCATTTTGTTAATATTACGCAGAAAGTAGAACAAATGCGTCGCATATACTACGACGTGAACGACGTGGATTTGATGGCGGCCATCTACAGTGAGAAGCTGATCGATGGTGGATTCGTGGGACCGACGCTCTTCTGCATCATTGTGCAAAATATGCTGCAGTGGCGCAGGTCCGACAGGCATTTTTTCGAACACGGAAATACACCGGCTGCCCTTACGCTGCGTGAGTTTTACATCTATCTATACTATAATAAAAACGTAACTGGTCGATGTCTGTACATTGAAGATATATTAAAACTATTATGAGTGACATTTATAAGCGTAATAGAACACAAAACAATGATTTTAAAATTTTTGTCTGTTCGTTTGTGTACGATAATCTCAGAAACGGCTGAACCGATTTAAATGCAAATTTCACTATTATATTATGGTATTCTTCCCTTAACATTTAGTGTTACATTTATTTCAATCGGTTCATAAATAAAAAAGTTATGTCAATTTGAAGTGACGTGTTCGCCGAAATTGCTTCGAAATATTAAATGTTTTATAAAATTTTCGTCTTTAATATATTGATCATCTTCATTAACTCTTTCACAGCCAAACTGCAGGGCCTCAGGCCTTCGTTTAATAATTTTTGGTCACCCATACCGTGAACAACTCTTGCTTAGCAATAGCGATCGTGCGCAGCGGCGCTTATCCGTAGCGCCACCGAAGTACGAATTATTATTGTCTATAAAATGATAATTTGTATGATGACAAATGAAATTCCATAACGTTGACTACTACAAAGTAAGCTGACCTCATTTATATATGGCCAATCATATTAAATAGGTTTCAGGTTATAATGGGCGTGTGGTATACGATCACGCGAGAAGGAGAAAAAGCGAAAAGAGCCTTCCGATGATGCAATTAAGCATCGAGTAGTTAACAGTGAACGCATATTTTTATCAGATTAGGTTCACGTCGTCGTCGGTGTCAACGGAAGTGGTTGGCAGCCGCCCCCACATTGCACGGTTTCGTCTGTATGGGAGAGGCACTCGATTTACCCGAGCCTCTCCAATTTTCCATCAGCAAGGGGACCAATGGTCCAATACTTGAGTGTCCTGGTGACTCAGCCATAGCTTACTGGGTTTCATCTCCCATGAGAGGGCGTAGCGTACGGGTTTTGGTGGATAGGCCTCTGGGGTCCCACTGGGCAGCTTACTGTCGAGTTCACGGAGGAGAATCCAACTCACCCCCTGTTGCTTGCCAGGTAACAGAGACAAAGTCAGAAGCTTTTCCACGACGTTAAAAAAGTTAGATTCACGTCAACTGAAGTTAAGAACGTAAAGACAACTCGAGTTATATATTTTTTTTTCTCTTATTACTATTTTTTATGTTAATACTCTTTTTGTTTTTTTTAAACATACAAATTGCTGTAGATACGTACTTCAAAGTTGGTCTTCGCTGGAAACAATGGTATATTTATTGGTCCCAACACTCATATAATATTACGCGAGTCTGAGGGTCGGATTAGAGTAGCTCGGTGACGTAGTGAATAAGCGCCATGCATTGCAGTTATTAAGCAACTTTCGCAAAGGTCGGGCACAGGATAGGTGACCAAAAAAAATTATCTCAAGCAACTTCAAGCTTCGGAAGACACGTAAAGCGATTGGTATTGATAGAGAAATGCGCTTGGTCTCTGAAAGTGCTCGCAGTTTGCAGAATAGAGATCGAGAAAGTAGTTTCGATTATCGCCAATCCGTGTTGCCTTAATACTCCACAGGCATACCGCACATGAGTTTAGACAGGGTATAAAGAACTAGCTGTTTTCCCGCGACTTTGCCGCAAAATTATAGCCTATGACATCCGCATCTGATGTAGCTTCTTGTAGTTCGGAATCGCTCTGAAACTATCGGTCCAGTAGTTTTGGTGCAAATCTAACGAGAAACGAGATAAAGATTAAAAAATAACATTCGTGAGGACCGTTCACAGGATGGGTGACCAAAACATTATTATCGTGAGCACTGTGCACAACACTAGCACAATGCACGTTAAGCCGTTAGTTCTGGCTGCATCAGCAACGTTAACACCCACCGATCCACATTAAGCCCGCATAGTGGGATATGGTCCCACTATGCGGGCACTATGGTGGCAGCAGATACTTTCGCCAAAAAGATACATGAATTGTAAGAATGCCTTGAAAAAAGGTCAAACCTGCAAAACTGCTACAAGGATGAGATTCTTAAGAAGATTCTGCAGCGAGATGTAGGAAATTTTTAGGCCAGGTTACGCCCTACAGAAACTTTGGCTTAGCATGAATCTAAACTGGGTTTATACCGATCTCGAATGAGTGAAGACATCAAGTAATATCATTTTTTTCTTCTTTATAGTCTTATGTTACGCTTTTTGTTTTACTTTAAAGTTGGTACATGCAGTCTTCACTGGAGAGAGGTTTATTCACCGGTCATGAGGCTCATGCAATATAACATGAGTCTCAGGGTCGGTGCAAAATTAATGGAGCTCAGTCAAGCATCTCACGATAGTATATATTACACACACAAACACATTACACGATTTCTGTCGAGTGTGCAAGGTCGAATTTAATATAATTTATTTCTTTAGTTCTCTGATTTTCTGCGACAAATAAATAAGAAATATATGGCATGTTTTTATGCATTTTTAAATTAAAAAAGAGGTACGTACATACGAGTATGTGAGTTCAATGAAATTAATCTCTGAGTTTTTCAGCTCAACTAATGGAAATAAGAAAATCAAGTGCAGCCAGACTTCTGTGCGACAATGGAGACAGAGTGAAGGAAATCCAACCGAAGGCGACATTAAATGCCAGACACGGGTAACATAAACCAGTAATCACTAAACTTCAGAGACTATTTAGCATATGGATTTAATTTTTTTTTTAAAAAGAAGTTAATTGACCACGCTTGTGCATGATCAATAATTAATATAACATAAAATGTATTAGACTATTTATATATCGTAATGTTTGAAGTATTTTATAAACCAAATTCTGAAATTAAATTATAATATTGTTTCAGAAATGAAATAAGATCATGTAAAGCAATTCCCTCTATGGACTTGACCAAATGGACTGATGAACGATGTTCTCACAAGGACAACAAACAGAACGACTACGAAAAGGAACACATGCAATATTCAAGCAGCCCGTATGAGTCGTGGGAGTCCTAAAATTATGATGAGAAATAAAACAAACCAAGCTATAGAATTACTTAGAATAATGAGAGACTCCGATAACGAGAACTTATGAATGGAAAATAATTACATCAATATTTATACAATATTAGAGAAAAAAGAAATTATCTGATATAATGAAATTGTAGATAATAAAGCATGTTATTGAAATCTTTGGTTTTAATAATGTCTATAGGAAAAGGTCCTTATGACTCAAATTGGGACTATACAATTACTAGGACTTGCCCTGAGTTTGACATATCCTAGATCTAAAAATTTTGTGACTTTTGCCACAAAAGTTTAAGACTGGCATATAAAGGATCTTTTATATGTCAGTCTCCAAAGAGGATATCCAATCTTTGTTCTTTTTTTTCTGACCCACTCGACTGTTCCGAAATTATTCCTGCCGTCGAAAACCTTTTAGATACCGCAAGAAAAATAAATATCGTTTAGGTCCAAGTTTACACTAGGCTATTAGTACAAATGCAAAAGATTTTTTTTCATTACTAAAAGACTGACTGTAATTAGCAAGAAATTACTGGGAATTATATATGTTTTTGAATAATTTTACTGTTTTTCAAACGCTTGTCAGAGAACCGTCCGTTAAAATTTAAATCGTAGATAAAATTTGCATATTTTTTCCAAATTTCACCCGAATTGCACAAATAATGCATTAGGGCAACACATAATGTTCCTCAGATCTTAAACTTAGTCATTGTTCTTGTATCACGGAACTTGAAACCACGAAGGTGCTACAACATCCAGACCCGAGCGAATATCGAATAGATTATTTTAACAATTCATATCAAATTTTCAGTTATTAAAAATTAAATGAAATTATCTCAAGTCATTACAATTATTGTGAAATATCTCAATTATACATTTCGTCTATTTTGTGAAAACACATATATTTAACAATAAATAAAAAAGAGTACTATACTGACAATTAAATAAAAACAAAATAACGAAAATAATTTTTATGTTATGTAGATAAAGTTTAATTTAATATTATATTTTTTGTAAATTGAAATTAATGTTTCTATCGAAAAAGCTTGAGTAATACACTTTTTGAACCATTAAACTGATAGATAATAGATAGTTATGACGTTTTTAAAAATAAAAGTTTGTTTGCCGTATGCCGTCACTGATTAGACTTTATTTCTTAAAGTTATTGAAAGACAAAAATCATCAGGCTCGTGTGCCCGAGAAGGTTTTTAAAATTCATTACATACTAGGTTTTCGCACGCGGTTTTTCCCGCGTGGAATTCGTTTTTTCACGATAAAAAAATCCTATGTTCTTACCGAAGGTCCACTCTGTGTTCCAAATTTCATTTCAATTGGTTCAATTTTAAACGTGGAAAAGTAACAGACATAAAAACAGATAGATTTACTTCGTGACAGCGTAGATAATACTTTATTTCTTTGTTGACATCTAATTCAGAATAAACAATTTTGGTTTATGTCCCCCTTTATTAAGACAAGTTTTATATAATTTGAATTAATATATCTTTCAAGCTATAATTTATTACAACATTATTACATTTTCAAAAAAAATATGCGCAAATAGTTTCTTGATGGGATTTTCCTGTCCCTACACAGTTTTTTTTTATTTCCTGCCTCGTGTCACATTTCATACATCCTTTTGCGGTATGTAGGTAATGGTACTTGGCGACTGTCGTCATAGTAACGTAGGGGAGGGAGAGGGAGGCAGATATCTGTCCTCGTCCCCCGCCACATTGTTTACTTTGACAGGCTTAAGATTTACGAATGTTTGAAAAGCCGAAATAATAACATCTTAGCTTTGGCAACATTCCATGGGAAAATGTTCTAGGTAAACACTCATAATAATCTTTTCATTGGTATATCCTTAGAAACAGATACTTTATATTGACCTAACTATATTTTAATAAAGGTATTAAATTCTCTCTCCCGGAATCTCAGTCTGGTTGAATTCAATTAACTAAGAAATTTCCAAACAGATTTTAGTAACTCTTTTGTTTATTAACAAACCTATTGACGTAATCTGAGAGGATAATACTCGTATAATGGTTAAAATGTTGTAATTAATTACGTTTAACTTTAAAACTATGAGATACGGTTTGTTGAAGATGTCACTCATATATTTGCACGATTCAACTACGTGCCATTAAGACTGCGTATATGATAAAGAGAAAATAAAATGAGACAGGGTGACGATTGCGCAAAATAGTGTAAAAAACAATTTTTGGTTAATTATTTGCAAGCAACTACCTAACCTAACTCAAATGTTTATAATTTTTTTTCATATAAAACAAAGAATAGTGCAGAAATTGAATAAATGTAAAGTTTTATGGGTGACATTTAATTTTATTAAATCAACTAATTCATTATCGTTTTAATTTTACTAATAGTTTATTTGTAATTCATAACCAATAAATATTCAAAGTCAATTTACAATAAGTTAAAGAGCCCTATCCTATACAGAGAATTATTGTAAATTTCGAAATAACTCATCAAAGTATAACATATCATTAAGTACCATATCAGGTTCAGTTTTAATTAAAGTCTCAATCAGACCAATTAGATGTTACACAGCCATCTTATTGGTTGATAAATCATATTCTGAATGTATCAAAGGAATTAATTAATGCCCTTCATCTCGTCTTGGTTCATCAGGGACCGTTTGTAAGGTAACGGATATATGTGGATAGAAAATTATTATACCTATCGCTACATAGCAGACACAATAGCATATAATAACATTCGACACTCTATGCTGTGACTCACATAGAGCTTCAATGAAATAAGACTTTGGTTACCTTTGGGAAGGTTTGAAGAGGGTTTTATCTTGATTGAACCTCTATATTATTTATTACAGCGCATTTTTCATTAGAGTAGTGTGGCGTAGTGGATAAGCACCGCGGCCCGCGATCGTTGTCGTTAAGCAACTTTCGCTAGTCGTCGGTCACGGGATGGGTGACCAAAAAAAAATTATCCCGAGTTACTCCGTGCTTCGGAAGGCACGTTAAGCCGTTTATTCCGGCTGCATTTGCAGTCGTTAATACCCTCCAATCCGCATTAGGCCAGCGTGGAGGGTCTTGGCCCATCCTCCTTACCCATCCATTAGGAAGGCATGAGCCCCTGCAGTGGGGACGTAAAAGGGCTGATGATGATGATTTTTCCATAATAATACTACAGTAATGAGCCAATGTCATAATAATTAGGTAGTTTTCACACTTGTTTCTCAAAGCACACCATTTTGAAAATTGACTCTAAATATATAGATTAATGACATTAATTAGCGATAGACAAATCTCAAGTACGCGACAGGAGATTTATTAACTGGTTATCTTCTCAAGGTATCTACTTGTTACATTTGTTGCTAATGAGGATATTTCTACAAATATTTAAGTAGGTAATCTTATTGTTACATTTGATCTACTTTTCATTTACAATGCTGAATTGATATTTATTTAAATCTTAAAGATAAATGCTTAAAAAATTCTCAACTAGGACAAGTGTTTTTTGATTTGACAAATGTATTAAATAATAAAAATATAATAATGCTTTAGAGACATATTTAGTACACGCTTGACGAATAGCTCAAAAAACCACATTATTTTTTTTTATAAAAATATAATTCACGAAACTTCCATTCAAGCCGGAGGTTTTATTAGGTTGTTAATACGAGTATTAATTTCAAGATATTTTTACTTTCTTGCAAATTTTAAATTTTTAATCTTTGATATCTGTTTATTTTTTTATATTTTTTCATTTCCTCCTTTTTATTGTCCGTCAGTCAAACTAATAGATTATATCTTCAAAAATTCTGAGCCGATTTTGATATAAGAAACATGCCCAATTTTGACCTAAATTTTTACTGACGCGTCTAGTGATGTGAAATATCTCAAAATTTAACTTATTTTTTACTTATTTCATACAGAAAATTAAAGTCAGGATAAAAATTGCGAGACCCATAATTATTTTTAAATAGTACTACGATAACTTACCGAATGCGACTCGGACCCAATGACAGTTTGCTACGTTTCGTTTCATCTAATACGGAAAAATATTCTTTCGTCTCAGTAAAAAAGCGCACTTTATCAATTACATTTAGATACGTTTTGATTTATTTCCATATTTAGGAGATAAAATTGAAAAAAGCTTTTATTTTAATGTATTAATTTTTAAAGTAGCTTCAAAAGTACGATATACTTGGAGCTTAACAGCTATTATAACCACAAAACATTATTAACAAATTTTAAGCAAAAATTAATTTAAATTAACGGGTAGACGCGACCTTAATAAAAAAACATGTGGCAGGTCGATCAATATATGAAAAGTGTACCATCATGTAACCCAATATGTACCCAATCATGTACACTCATGTTCATAAAATTAAAAGCTTGTTTTCTCAATCTTTGTTTGACTTTTAAACAAAAATTGTTGTTCACTCGTGCTATGTATGTAAATAAAACTCACTCACACTGTCACAAAAAAAACTGATCCTCTGTTCAGCTTACTAATGCCTTATATGAATTCACGTAGCATCACATGATAGCTAGTTTTAATAACGGTACAGCACCATCTACCGAACTAGTGAACAAACTAGTGATATAAACATTAATCGATGATTCTAAAAAAATATTGTAATTCTAAAGCAATTTGTGCAAAATACAATATTGGACATACAGTTACAAAATTAGCACAAATGTTTAGAAGACAGTGCAAAATTTACCCTACCTTTAACCTCGTACCAACGAAATTTGCAAATAAACTCTCAGGGATATATTCACATATGTTTAAATGTTTAATACCGTTTAACCATTACTTGTAGCTCATGAAATAGGCGTATAACCAAACAAAATCGATTTTCCAGTCCACTGGGCGTGTGTAAACGGACCTTATTATCGTCTGCCTGAGAAAAACACCATCTGTCACTGTAGGTCCTAATGACGGCGATTCCGATACGCAAATATCGATTACCGAATTCGATTGCTTACTCGATGCGATTACAG